TTTAATGCCTTATTATTCTTAGAGAAATAATATGAATGTATTAGAAATTTGTTAAATAATCTTTTATGAAGTTTTTTTTTTACAAACAAGCAGTCTGCAAAGTAGACCAAAAGTTACTACATAGTATTAAGTGAATTGCAGCATACTAATACAGCCAACTCTCTTTAAGTGTATATCCTCTAAATGCAGGTTATATAAAATTCTTTTTAAAATATAGTACAACTTTGATCTTACATATATAGAGTTTTTTTTTTTAATAGTAAGTTTTCTATTCTAGCAAGATACATTTAGAAAAAGTCCACTATATTATAGTCTGAGTAGTCCAAGAATTACTGCATAATAATTTTATTTTTCAAGATAAACAAGAAGTTTTTTTCCCATGAACAAGCAGTTCACAAAGTAGTTTAGGAAATATCTTTCTTAAACAAAGTCTGAAAACTAGTCTGAATTATACTATATATAGTATATATATGCAAGTATCTTGAGCTTTTTAGCCATTCTATCACCTTTTGCCTAATGTTAGTTGTTTTATCATATAATGCCTTTTTATAGTTTTAGTTCATTTTCATATCAATTGTGCTTAGCTATCTCTTCTTCCAAATCATATGTATTAGAGAAATATACAAGTAAACGTTTCTCTGTTTGCTATTAAAAAGTTACATATTTTTAAAGCAATAAGCTATATCATATTGTCCACAAAGAAAAAACTTGTAGTTTATCTTATTAGAGTATTTAATGAAAATCAAAGGTGCAAATTATGTGTCATTTCATTATGATATGCAATTTTTTAAAAAGAATAGAAAACAATAAATCACAATTTTTTATTAGATATCGTAGTTTAACCAAAATTTTAACTTTTTTTATGTATGCAAATTAGCTATTTTACAACTACATATTTGCTCACATAATAATTTTATACGCTGAAATTGAATTTTTGTAGATTTCTGATCAAAGAGACAGGCAATATAATAATTTATATAAACAATATCTAGCTTGTAATAATTAGTATAGCTAGAATATGTGACTAGAATATATGCATAAATAGTCTTGCTCCATTGTGTGAATAGGGCTATCCAATATATCAAGGTTTGCAAAAAAAAAAAACTTTGAAATTCTAAAACTATTTTAACTCATATAAAGATAAAAATGAAAGTGATATATTTGACTATATACAATATATTCAAATTTGAAAAAATTATTTGTCAGTCTCTATCTATAAAAATATTTTATATTCAAAATTCTAATCAAGATTCGCAAACTTAATTGCTTAAAAAAAAAAAATTCTAAAATTTTGGTTAATATCAAAGAATTGGGTAAAATTTGGTTAAAGTTGTTCTCAAGCACCTCCCTTTATATAGTTAATAAGATTTTCTGATTGACTAAAAAAAGGGTTGTGTTAAATTATTTTGATTAAAAAAATCTAGACCATCTTTTTTTTCAGAGTTATTCTGATTGCTAAAATTAAAATTTACATTTTGCACAATGTATTTGTAGCAAAATCAATATAAGAAAGGATTAATCAAAATGATTGAACAATATCTCAATTTAGCAAATTACAAAGGGTGCTACAAAATTGCAATTGAGGTCTATTTTTTAAATCTTCCAGAGAATATAATAAATTAATAAATTTGATAAGGATTTTTATATTTTTCAAAAATTTCAGAAGCAATTTCAAAGTGTTGAATATTTTTTAGATATATTCCTGAGAGAAAAATTCAAAATATAAAGCTTTTAGAGATGTGCCATTTTAGTGTATATATAAAGCAGAATGGTTAAATAGAAAAATAGAGCACATTGACCTAAAGGTTTGCAGCATGTTGTATTAAAGGCTATATCAAAGAATGTAGAAATTCTGTTAATTCTGACGAAATAAGCACAAATTTTATTTATTTTGGTATTGGTTATTTTATTATTAATTTATTAACAAATATAGTTTGCTCAATTAATATCTGCTAATGTTCATGGTGCTGGTATAAAAGGTTACAAATTTTCTCAGTTTGTATCCTTACATAATCTTTTTATTGTTATTAAATTATATAATAAAAAAAATGCATGCTTGAAGATATTAGAAGTTTTGGTAACATTAAAGATTTTATTTTTATTTAGGTTCAGAATTATATATAGTGACTTATATTCAAGAAATATACTTTGTGATAACACCTTTTATTTCTAATTTTGGTTTGCAAAATATAAGAACCAATGATTCAGAGGTCATCTATAGTACAGTCGATACTGTCTAATTGCATACCATCTATCAGAGACTTTTTCATGCATATAGACAGTACCATAATAGCATATAATAATGCACATATACATTATTTCAAAACACACCTATTTTTGAAAATTACGTTTTTGACTCGAAATAACGCACATGTATATCCTGAAATAATGTGCCCCTTATATAAGTAGATTATATACAGAATTGGCTGACCCCAAATTTGTCAAAATGACTTAAAATATCGCATATATACATCCCGAAATAATACGCAGGGCCTTGAAATAACACGCAGATACATGTTATTATACACCATTATGGTATATGCATTTAAGTTATAAAAACCATTTTGTGTTAATGTTAAAAGCAAAAATTTTTTATGCAGTTAGAGAGTATATGCAATTAGACAGTATTGACTATATTTCATTTATACTGCAGCAATATTAACTTTTTCAATATCTAGTTAGGTCCAGAGATTCTTAAGCGTGCACCACCAGCATATATTGAATTAATAACTCAATGCTGGAATTCAAATTCAAAATTTTGACCAAGTTCTCTTGAAACTTTCAAAACTATCCAATGATTATTCCAACAATTGAAGGTTATTATGAAATCTTTAGGATAAACCTCAATTACCATGTACAAAAAAAGCTACTGAATATTTTTTAAGCCCAGAGCGAATAAAATACATGAAATATATTTGAGATGAAATTTATAGATTTACAGAACTGCCGTCAATTACAATAACATGTATAGTATAGTCGGGCAAAAGAGTATAGTATATAGGGATGGAAAATGTTTTAAAATATAATGTTTTAAAACATGTTTGTTTGATTTAAAACTGTTTTTTAATGATTTAAAACATTCTGACATATCATAAACATAACAATGTGATAGTATTTATTTAATTGATTTAATACATTCTGACGTAATCATAATACGAAACAGCATACCATAAATATGTACAAGGTTATGTTGATTACCGAATCGAAAAAACTTAAATGCAAATTTTAATTTACTTTATATTCAATATTCAGGTGTTACTCACATATCTAAAATTTCGTGCTGAAAATTTTTGCTTAGAAGTCAAACTACGGTTATTATAGTAAAATTTTGAATATTTATGATTTTTTTGTTTTTTTAGATAACTCAAAATTTTTTACTATGATAACTATAGTTTAACTTCTAAATAAAAGGTTTTAGCATGAAATTTAGGTATATAGGTATGCCTAAATATTGAATATAAAGTAAATTAAAATTTGCACTTAAGTTTTTTTGATTCAGTGATCGATATAACCTTGTACACATTTATGGTATGATATGAAACAATGGGATAATATTTATTTATTTAATTAATAATGTCAAAATACAATTTTTTTGTTACCTCTTTTTTAAGATATAAAATTATAAACAATCATGCACTATGAGAAACCTCCATTAAAAGAAATTCGCTTGAACTTTACAAAAGTTATAGAAACTGACAAAATTTGTTGAACTACATCTTGCCAAAAGTGTGACTACTATGAAGAGAACTTTGTAAATTTAGTTGCTCGATTAGAAAATCACTTATATAGATGCAAAAAGTTTTCAACAAATATGAAAAATTTATTAAATAATACTAATATTCAAGTCTCCAGTTCAAACAAAGATATAACACATATGGGCTAATTTTGGAATATTGGGCCCTGAATAGAGTTACTAAATCCAGTTTAAACCTCTTGTTTAATTGTTTTTGATTGGTCTAATGCATTGTTAGAGTGATTGATTTGATTTTTCAAGAGTCTTTTCTGCACAATTATGCAAGAAGGATATAATGAATATGCATTTAACCTATTAGATTATCTTCAAACCCATTAGATTATTGATCCAACTAGCTGTTTGAGTATAGAGAGTCATGTCATTTGACATCGTTATTATTATGTATATATTATCAAAAATGGTTAAAAATGTGTATAAAAATTTTTTGTATATATTACAAATACTACGTACGTACTATACATACTTAACTATTACCACCACTGTTGTAAAATACTTTTCAGCTTTTTTTTAGATATTTTTAATAATATTGGTAGTCATTTAATGCACCAATGTAACAATAATATTAAATGCTCAAGTATAAAACTTAAAATTCTACAAGGAGGTGGTTTAGCTCGCGAAATATGGTAGTTTATATCAAACTTCAATATATGTCTAAAGTAATCAAATAATTGGATTTATGGTATTCATAAATAAAAAAATTTTTATTAGCCATTTTAATCATCTCGAAAACAGCAATAAATAAATATAAAAACAGCAATAAATTACTGTTTAATGAATCGCTTTTTTAATAATATGTTTACTATTTACTTCTCAAAATTTAACTTTTAAATTTTCTATTTCTTTGATTTTTTGCTCTGTCTGTTTTCGAAATTTCAAATTAAAAAACAGATATAGGCAGCATTGTAATGCTATTAAAAAGTATAATGTGCCACATAATGATTTTGATGAAATTCTAGTTAGAACATTGTAGGAATTTAAGAATATCTTAGTTCAACAAATATATCGCCAATTGCTATTAAGCTTTGTTAAGATAGGAAAAAAGGTGTTATCAGTTCTATGTGCTGAAAGCCTATTTATTGCTATTTTTAAAAGTTATGTTCATCAATTTTCAAATAATCCACGAGCATATAAATGCAAATTTCATAGCAAGTTTGCATATTCAACTTTAGTACAAATTTTGAAAGATCCTAGATGGGATCAAAAAAATTATAATTAAAATCAACAAACATATATTGTTTTGGAACAACTATTGAATCATACTAACATTAACAATAATCAAAATAATGACATTGATCCTCTAGAGCAATTAAATAATCAAAAAATAAAAAGAAAATCTAAATTTTTTCGTAGTGAGCTTCTGGTCGAATGAAAAAAAAAAACTGTTAAAGAAATAGATGGACATACTTGTACGGCAGGATTTATATACTTATCTTTTTATATTTTACAAAGATATATACTTAATAAGTAATCAAATTATCTGATTATACATATAAGCTAAAGTTATTGCCCAATTAGTGTTTTTAAATATTTGGATCAAATTTAATCAATTCTAGAAGTCAAGTTTTGGACAATTGTCACTTCATTTTTAGTTATTAATTCAAACTGTTAAAATTTTAGGCCATATTATAAATTATATTAAATAAACTCAAAGATCAATATAATGTAATAAAAATAAAATCTTTTGAATACTTTCTTTATAATTTTAGTCACAATTGTTCAATTAAAAGTGCTGCGAAAACATAAGTTCATGAATAAATAATATGGAAGAAAGAAGAATTCAGCTCTTTTGAGTTATCTTCATTCAAAAAAGGTAAAATTAAGTAAAAAAAAGAGTTTAAATAAAAATATGTTGAACAATTAGTACAGTTAAAGAAACAACATATTGCTTAAATTAATTGTTTTTATATAAATATTTAGTTAATATCAAAAGGTAATTTTTAAATTTATAAGTAACTTCAGGTATTTTTCGTTAATAGTAACAGTCAAGTCTTACACTAAAATTAGTGGCTTAACCTGTCAGACGTGCCTAATAATGCTGATATGAAGTAATGATAATATCATTGATGAGTCTAATGATACGTAGTAAGTTACTTTTAGTAGTTACCTAAAACTATATTTTTTGACTAATCAAAAAGCTCTTCTTTTAAAAACTAAATAATGGACTAAAATGGTTGTATATGTAGATACCTGCTACAAAGTTGCAGCTTTTGTGTCTCTTTATAATTACTTGCTAATATCACAGAGTTACAAATTCTGTAATTATTTTATTAAAAGCAAAATTATCTTTGTAATATAGATTATATATAATTTATATATATATATAGTATATATATTATAATATTACAAAGTAAGTTATACAGTATATTACATGATTTTATCTAATACAGATTTTTTTAGTTTTTGGCTATATCAGAAGATCATTATATATATGAAAAAGGTTTTATAACTCATATTCTAAAATTTCTATTGTAGCTGAATTTTTTTTAAGAGAATTTCCACTATTTAGAGTAGTTTTTCGAAAAAAATAAGATATGTGCATATGATTTTTTTTTTTTTACCGCACTATATAAAAATGCTTTTAACCCCCATTGCTTATGTTTTTCATGTAGTTCCTACCCATGAAATACCAAAAAGTGAATATAGGAAGTTATATGAGTTGGCAAATAAAAACCTTTGATAATATTATGTGGGTTTTTTGAATCCTTCTCATCAGGTTTTAAAAAAAGTTTTAGCCATTCAAGAGCTAAATATTTTAAATATAAAGGATCATTATTTTGATTACATATTGCCTTATACAATTTAATAAATCTGTCCTACAATGATCAGATTAACCTGGCCCAACTTGGATGAAAAAGGGTATCTAAATTAAAATGTTGTAATACTTTAATCTTGTCATCACTGATTAACAATGTATTTTTTCACATGTCTGATTCTTTCCAAAACTAGAATTTAATACCAAGCCAATTCATTTCATTTATAATAATTTGATGACTAATATCGTTAAATAAATTTCGTTCTTTAATTTCTGATATCATCAATGTTCAGAGTTGATCTTTGACTCATAATAATAAATATAACTCATCAAATACATAGTTGGATAAAAAAATCATATCAAACAATGACAGTTTTATATGACCTGGAATATTAAAGTAATTATTCTTTAAATTATCTATCAATTTGGTGATTCGCCAATCTTGTATTATATTGCCAATTTCATATTTAGAACATTGACACCAAGCACAAAAATAGCTAGAATTCACAGTATTTAATTTAAGACAGATCAAAAGGAACTTCCAATTACTACTGAAGTATAACTCAAACCACTATAAGATATTTGTGACCTTTAATCCATTAAGCTTAAGATCTTTAAGATCATTAAGAAATGGATCTAATATGAATTTAAGAGATTCATATTTTTCGATCCCCGGATATAAAGCAACGGTATGATGATAACTAGGTATATAGCAATTTTTTAAATTATTAAAAACTATAAATGTAACTATAACATGCTTGACTTTTTGTTTAACATTCTGACCATCACCAGAAATTCGCAAATAGATTATTGGATCATGAACCAATAATACGTTTTTATGTAACAAATGAGAAATTAAATATCTAAGTATTTCTTTACAATTACATTGTCCGTCTATATCTATAGAATTAATAATGTTATTAATTGTATCTGAATCTAAATTATTAGATTCATTATCTATATTTTCCAATTCTTTATCTATAGTATTAGAATCTTCATCTATATTATCAGAACCTTCATTTGTTATTATTGTTTTCATATTAATAAGTTTAATATGAATATTTTTAGCCATTTCTTGAGTTAAGTTATTTCGTTCATTTGCAACAATATATTCACATGATAGGTGATAATCTGCTATCACCAAATTTTGATAAGCATCTCATGAAATATAATTTAAATATATTATATTAACTATATTTAAGAGTTTAGCTTTTTTTTGTACAAGATCATCTTTTTTAAAATTAATAAAATAATTTTGATTATTGATGATATATTCGAATAACTTTAATTCAATAAAATTCTGATGATGGTAATTAGATTTTGTGCTTTGAATAAAATTTTCTTTGATTGTTATTGCAATTTTTTTTGTATGATTTTTAAGTGATTTTTGCGAATATTAATCAGCAGGTTTGACTATACATTTACTATGAGATTTTTTAGCTTCATTAAGTATTTGAAGCTATAATCCAAAGAGTAGTGGCCTAGATAAAGAATTTTTTTTGTTCAAATTTATGACCTTTAAGTAGAATTTTATTTAAAAGAAATAGTAACTATTAGAGATGAAATGAGAATCTCACAAAAGGTGCTTATACAAAGAAACTCAATGTGAGATAATTACGTGATTTTTTAAAACGAAAAAGATTTTAATACCATACCTTATCATACTCTGCTGCAATCTTACTAGCTGACTTATCTGATTTGAATATATGTGTGCCAAATAAAATTCGAAATTCTGGACATTCATTCTTATATTCAATTTCACATTGAACTGTTCGTTGATTTTTTCTACATCTCCAGGTAGTTTTTACAGAATAGTTATCAGGAATTGGATAATTTTTAGGAGGTAATGTATAACAAAGTATAGAAAAATGTGAATAAAGCCCTTTATTCTCTATAAAATAACTAAATGACCATTGTGTAATATTATTTTTTTTCTTTATATATAATTACACAATTCTCAACCAATTCGAAAGTTTTGATTTCAAGATTTCAAGTTGATATTATTATAACAATTAATTGGTAAAGATTTTAGTTGAAATTTGAGAAATTAGAAGATTTTAATTAAAGAGTGTTTTAATATTTATATTTATTTTGCATACGATTTATATTTAAGATAAAGCTGATTATTTCAGTGATAATTTATTGATGCAATTAAAGAACAAAAGCAATTTACTAATACAATAAATCATCAACTTTACAAAAGCAACAAGAGAAATTAGAACGATAAATTATTGGCACAATCTAAGAACAAAAAACCTTACAAGAAATTGGCACGATAAATTATTGTTAATCAAAAGTCAAAATAATATTTATTGAAATGACATATAAAGTTTATGACAATAATAGTAATGCGCTTATTCTATAAAACATCGTATACCTTACAGTTTTGGGTTAATTCTTTTCATTCACACTGTCTTTTATTCTGAATTAGTATACTAAATCCTATATGGTATGTATACAAATTTCAATGATTTAACATGCATCATTATTAAGGTTGTACACTATCAAATTTATAAATATATGCAATTATGATTATAAATTTGATAGTGCCACTTGTCATGTTTGTTTTGAAAAAAAAGTTTGAACAAAAAACATTTTAGTTCAGATTTATACGATGTTTTATTGTTATGAAAATCGTGTAAGCTTAGAATGCTAACTGTAGATATAGATTAGAATAATTGATGATTTATTTATAATTTGTAATATTACAATTTGTTATATTATATTAATACTAATATTTCTATTTCTATATAAACAGCGTTAAAGGTACGATTCAAATTTTATTTTTTTATAACAATTTATAATTATAAAATTAAACTGGTAGATAGCCAGATTGCGCCTTCTAACAATATACTCTGAAGCATACTCTCTTTTAGTTACCTTTTACTTAACAAAATGCCACCTAGATGTAGACTTCCATCTAAGAAAAAAAAACCACTACCTATTATTCAAATAATAAATTATAGAAATTAAATAATAAATTATAAAAAAAAAGTGCCAGTAGTAATATATCATCAAATACTAGAAGCAACCCAAACTAAAATTATAAATGATAAAAAATAGTGTTTAAAAAGGATGAAGCTTTTTTTGAAAAGGAGCAAACTCCAGAAATAGCTAAGACTAAACAATGTAATATGCAAATTGAAATATCTATCACAGCCAGAATCTGTTCTACGGAGAAGGTTGGTGTTCAAGACACGAAAATTGGTATTCAAGACATGTATTGCAAGTGCAAACTCATAAAAAAAAAAAATCAGTGATACAATGCAAAGTAAATTTTTCACTTTGTATAACATGAATTAGAAAATTGAGTTAGTCGATTTTTTTCTACAGTACTTTTGGATAATTCCAGGAAATAATGATTCTGTCGAGTGATAGAATAATTAGCGCAATTGGAACTTTAAAAAAAAAATTGTTTTTTTGAAAATTTTGAAAACAAAAAATTAACTTTGCATAACATTATATAGAGTTTCTGAATTTTTTGCTCCTAGTTTGAAAAAATAATAAATATTATAAGAAAAAAATAAATTGATATAAACAACTTTATCAGTAATTTTAATCCATTTTAAATTACCTTCAAATTCCCTTAAAACATTAGTGATCAGTGATTGAACCTGCCTAAAAAATCATAACCTGGGTAGACAATTTGCGTTGCTTATCCATTTTAATATGACAGCACAACCTAATTTTATGTTTTGACTTCAATTCTAGCAATAACTAAGAGTTTCTAACCTTTACCAGGTTTCTGATAATATATACATATATACTGTATAATTCAGTCTTTTCTACAGCAGCTTTATTGATCGCAATAATTTGTATCTCCAACTAGTGCTTCACAACTCAACAGAACTTTAATAAATTATTATGCTGCTCTTTTTTGTCTTGTAATATCTAAAATATAAAAAAAAAATAAGTTACAATATATAAAACAAAACTGTAAGATTTAGAATTTTAGAATTATAAAGATCGAGAGTTTTACACAATGTATGTATGTATGTAGGCATATATTCTGTGTAATGTATAGTAAATATACCGAAAGATAACTTTGTGGTTTAAATTATACGGTATGTATATTTTTATACATAATATATAGTTTGTATCATGTTTTATACATTATGTATAACTGCTCGAGATCAAATTATATTTTATATTAAAAAAAAAAAAAAAGAGATTGAAATTCTTATTTGTCAAATTTATTTATAATGTAAATTTTTTTAAACGATTAAGCTGCAAGAACATCCATCTTATTTCGTAATGCATTTGAAGAAAATCTGTTAATGTAAATTCCTTATTATGCAAAAATATTATGATTTCCGTATTAAATTTCTTCAAGATTCATTATCAAAACTGCTAAAGATCGTTATTCGACATTTCATATGATCATGTAAATTTTTTTGCCATGATATTTTTTGCATAATCAGTTTTGCAAAACATCACAGAAAAAACTTCACATGGTCATATTAACTATCAGATAATACACACTTATTGGGACAAAGATATTAATGTTACTTCCATTCAATAACAAAAATTATTAATTAATTCTGAGTCAATTTTAAATCAATATACTGATACTTATTAAATTGAACTCAAATTCTCCAAAAAATTAACTGATTTAGAATTTTGTCACAATTTATGCAATTTAGAATCCAAGTATATAATATTTTTGTTCGATTCTATTTATTTATAATTGTTCTTTTTTAGGTTTGTTTTTTTTTATTACTGCACTTTTCAATTTTACTGTAATACTCATCGCACAGAAATTTACAAAATTTCTTTAAATTCCTATTTTTGCAAAATTGTCACCAATTGAAAACTAATTTTCTTGTATAATATCTGTTATTATATTAGATCTTTTGTTTTGTTAACCAAACAATAAAAAGTTATAGCTTCCTTTTTTAACAGCATTCTCAAATTTTGAACGAATCCATTTTTGATTAATAGGATCCAAAAACAGCCTTAAACATTTAAATTAACTAAGTCGTTATTAATATTTTCATTAAAATCTTGAAAAAAAAAGTTAGAAAAAAATTAATTATTCCTGATTACAAGTATAAATTTTTTACTATACATTACAATTTTTTTTATTAAAATTATACAGAATGTATAATATATTTTAAAAATTTATGCTTAATATAAAAATTTTCAATAAATAATATACATTTTGTATAATACTGTATACTATTAGGGATGGAAAAAAAATGGTTAAACAGTTTTTTAAATGTTTTAAAACTTTTTAAAAAACTTTTTAAAACAATTGGCGCTAAGACTAAAAATTAAAGTTTAGGGCTAAAATGCC